ATGATGACCTTCTGTGACGTTAAGTTTTTTTTCTTATTATATATTTTTGATAGGATGTTGTTTTTTTTCAATTCCGTGGCCATAAATTAGACAAAATTTTTTTTTTTGGAAAGTCGGATCCGTTTTTGGTATTTTTTTTTAGCAATGAAGATAACAGGTATTTTGTGCTTTTTTTTTTTTATTGTTGTTGTTAGAGTTACAGTATTTTTTTTTAAAACAAATACAGTATTACCAGCTACTTTTTTTTTAAGCTAGCTACTTCGACAACAATCTAACTTTTTTTTTGTTCGTAATAGTGAAACATGTTAGACTTTTTTTTTATGTTATGTTGCTATCAGCTTTACCGCATTTTTTTTTACTGAAGTCATCAAGAATACACTCAATTTTTTTTTGAAAGAGTTCAGCATTCCTTCGAGAGCCTTTTTTTTTGGAGACTATGACAGGTATCTCAAATAATTTTTTTTCAAATACCCCGCAAAAAAAACCCTCATATTTTTTTTGGCTACGGCTACAGCTCAAAATCAAGTCTTTTTTTTACTACCGGTCTCCCTGTGTTTTAAGGACTTTTTTTTATATTATGAAAGTGGCTACGCGGCTACGTTTTTTTTCGGCTACGGTCGCTACGGAGTCAGAAATTTTTTTTTGGACTCCCTGTCTTTTTAGAACGAGGCATTTTTTTTTGAAGTGGCTACGCGGCTACGGAGTCAGTTTTTTTTTATATACATATTTTGGTATCCCTGTGTCTTTTTTTTCGTAGCCGGCTACACGTAGAGTGTTTGATTTTTTTTGTATTCGGTAGTTTTACCAAAATAGTGATTTTTTTTCACACGTCCTGTTCTGGTTTCTATATTCTTTTTTTTAAAAAAGTTGTCGGATAATAAATCGGCGTTTTTTTTTTGTCGAACGGGGATCGACTGGACTAACTTTTTTTTTTTGCTAATTGATGAGAAACAAGAACTGTTTTTTTTTAGTCTGTGGTATAAACTCCATTTATTCTTTTTTTTCACGAAAGGTGCATCCAATAAGTGAAATTTTTTTTTTAAAACAGTGTGACCATAGTCCATTTCGTTTTTTTTATCTCCCTTCGACAAACTCCGTTCGCCATTTTTTTTCCTGATTCTCCCGGTCAACGTTTTTTGATTTTTTTTTATGCAAAAACGAAGTACCACATATGATTTTTTTTTACCATTAAGACTTTATAGTTAGTGGTGATTTTTTTTTAATGATTTATTTKAAACATTTATTATCTTTTTTTTGATACGAGTGGAGTGCTATGACTGGGACTTTTTTTTAGGGTAAGCTTATTATAAACATGTTTAGTTTTTTTTGAATACTTGTATTTAAACGAACAAGTTTTTTTTTTTTACCCACTAGTGATTATTGCCTTTTCCCTTTTTTTTTAAAATACAAGAAGGTCGGA